ATAAATGATTCTTTTCAGATAAGTAAATAGATAATTTGTTATTTTAAATGTTTAATTTAACAAACAAATTCTAAATTTTACTTTTATTTTTATAAATTAATAATTTGTTAAAATTAATTAATTAATAATATTTGTTATTTTGTTACTAATTTTATTACTAATTTTATTTATTTTATTTTTTAATTTTTATTAATTTATTTAATAAATTAATAAAAATTTATTATAAACCATATCGTCAAAAAAATCAAAATAGATATTCGTAGGATGCTGACATATTGGGTAATTATATCCCCTATAATATATTACGCGATCAAATATCTGGGGATTAGATCTTACTAAATCCTTTAGTCCTTTGACAATGATTTTATTATTGATTTTTATATTCAAATTTTTTAAAAGAATGACTTATAATTAACATAAATCTATAATTAAATCTTTGGTTAAATAAAATAAATAAATAAGTTGTTCTATTGATCGGATGATCATAGATGTTTCTTATCTCTCACCTTTACTTATCCCCTTTTTAAAAATTATATTTACAAAGGAAAGGAAATCATAAAGCGAAAGGGGGATATGTTGACCATATTATTAACACAGAAAGTAATAAGAAAGTATAAAGTAGCAGAAAAGCAAAGAATCCGAGAGATATTAGAATTAAAGAGGAGAATTTTTGTGCGGAATAAAGGTGTTCGAAAGGAAAGTAATCCGTTTTAAATAGGTCATCGCCTGTATTATTTAATTAAAGATTTTATAATAATATGATTATGGTCAGAAATTATATATTATTTACAAATTAAGTTATGACGAGTTTATTTAACAATTGGTTTTGCTGCTTCTTATATTCAAAAAAATCTTTCCAGAACTCATCGATTATAAAATAAGAGAATAAAATGAAACAAAAAAATTTTTCTAGAATCCAATTTTTAAAAAAAAAATAAATGAGAAAATAAAATAAAAAATAAAAATTCGAAAAATTAAGCTCAATCAACAAATAAAATAAAGTTTTTTTTTTTTTTCTTTTTTAATGCATTCACTAGTCCTTTTTTTTTCTTTTTTTTTTTTGTTATCACCAAACTGTCCATGCACAAAAATAGGTTCTAAATTAATCTTTTGATTCTAACAAAAAAAAAAAAATTCAACGAGTATCCCCCCTAAATAAATAATTCCAAGTGTACACGCCCATATATATATAATTACTGTTATAATATTTCATGCCTTTTGCTTGGCTCACCTTCTTCTTGCGGTGGATTAGTTACCACAACTTGCGTCATCTCACTCGTCTCACTGCTCGAACTGGTGTTGGAATTATTACGTCGTTGTCTCGCACGTTCTCTAGTTATATCGCGAATCTCCTCGCCTTCACATCTAAATCGAATATCTAACCCATCCATCCACCGTACTGCACCTACTAGACTTGTATTAAACATATTAGGCATATATGCTATCCTTTGATAAAGTTCTGCATCTCCTAATCGATCTTCTGCTTTCCTTATATCAAGGAAATGTTTTTCTATACAAAGGTCTACTATAAAGAAATATATTGAATGTACAGCGTATGTAATGAATACTGCCAACAAGACATCAACAGTGTAATGGATTCGAGTTGCAACGAGAAAACTTAATGCTATAAGTCCATGGAGATATGAGTAATATTTAATAACTTTATATCTACAATATACGCGGAAGAGGATTACACTAAACGGAGAAAAAAAAATTATTACCTTTAAAATGCATTG